CAAGACAGACTAATGAAATCTTACTTGCTTCCTGGAGATATTCAGCAAAGAAACAATATGGTACATACATCCGAAGATGGATATATTTCTGTCGTCAAAAGGGAAATTAATTCAACAAACTATAAAATAGATATTAAATTTTTTATTACAAAATTACAGATGTATATGAAAGTGGTCTTGGCTACAGTTCAATTAACATTGGAAGATCTGCTCTATCATCATATCCAATTCAACATTCTGGACTGCCTATTGGATCAAATTCTCTAGTTATTCGATTTATTAAAGGCGTATTTAACTTAAGACCAGTTTTACTAGTGTACAGTCTTTGCATCTGTTAACTATAAATGATATGTGCAAGAGTAGTAAATCATATACCTTGTTTTTTTTTAATCTTTATTGAAACAAAGCAGACCAGGTTATTTTGGTGGACAATTAGAACATTTTACTTACCCACCTGATGGAAGGTTATATGTAATTTTGATGTTGAAAGAATATTTAGAACGCAAAAAAAAATCTAGTAGGTTTGTGTACATATTTTATTTAAAAGCTATGTAAAGCCCCACAAAGGAGTAACTAGATTCACTATAAGTAGGTGGATTAAAGTGATGATGTTCAAATCAGAAATTTGCATTGCTAAATTTGCATCACACAGTGTAAGATCAGCCTCAGTGTCAAGAGCATCTAAAATTGTATACCAGTTGGTAATATTTTAGAGGTTGCAGATTGGTCAAATGCACAGATTTTTGCCAAGTTTTACCAAAAAAAAAAAAAAAAAAAAAAAAAAAAAAAAACTATTAAGAAAGATGCAGAATTGTATCAACAATGGTAATATTCTTCATTGAATCCCTACCAAACTTTTCCTTTCACCAAGGCAAGACTCGTTCAGTTGGGGGGTTATGTTGCAATATTTCGGAATATGGATTTGTTTTAAAAGAAAAGTAAATTCCACCAAAAACAGTAGAATAAACGCTTACACAATACATATTACGAACGCATATCACCTTTTAAATATCTTCACTCATCAGTATTTGGGGTTAAATTTCAAAAAGATGTCTTCTGAAAAAAAAAATCAAAAGAGCAGGTTTATTCAAAAAGATACTTTTCTAACTTTCCATTAATTAAAACATTTCTTGAGATGAAGAAAAAATTTTAGTCGATCACTTAAAAAATTCATATCAAGAGTCTTTCTACAAAAATGCAAAATTTAAAACTTTCTGTGATTTGTTTATTTAATCTGTGTTTTTACGTTTTCGTTTAAATATAGCTCACGATAGTCAACACAATTTGAATAGCTTAATTGCATTGACATTTGATTTAGGGTGGGTCAAGATAGGGGATAAAAGTTTTAGATTGGAATATAGGAGGTAACACTTTAAAAATCCCCTCCCCACACGGGAGCAAAGCATGAATACAGGCTAATACATTGTAGCATGACATAAGTACTCTTGACGAATGCTTTAAGAACTTGGGTTTCTTGTTCACATTTAGGACAGGATTGCACGTAGGGATATCAAAGTGACTGTTTTAAAAAAAGATAGGACAGTTTAAAGACTCCCTGAAGATACACACTGGTTGTGTAATTTGCAATTTATCTCAACAATGCGCTCTAGAAATATTTTCTTCTGTTGCTCATCTAATACAAGTATTTTTTTTCTTTTTGTTGGAAATGTTCCGTAAAGTGTACCAAACAAATAAAAGCAAGAGGTCCAAGGGCCTTAACAGTCAATTGAGTATAATACAACAACTTGGAGGATCCATAGAAGTATAAAATAAACTGATAGATGAAGCTTTGTTACCAAAAGCAAGAGAAATAGGATCATTAGGATCAAGGCAATACTCAGTCTTGTACTCATAGGTTCTACTTGCCTACACTTATCACTATCACCAAGAAGACTATTATCAAAACAATACTGCTTCAACACTATATTTAAACCCATACTTTTACCTCTCACATTGGTCTTTCTTAGTCTTAAAGAACATTAATTGATTATTTTGGTTTCATTATTTTTTTAATCTTTTATTTATAGTTATACCTGATCAAAAAAAAACTATGAAAGTACTTTTTGTATTACACAATAAAAGTTTTGTGTATATTTTTCTTATTCTATTAATCTTTCAAACACATTATTCACAGTGATGATTGGTTAAGGGGAATAACTTCTTTCAGTAGAATACAAATTACTAGAGGCCTGGCCAGCAACAGAACACTTGACCAAATAGTCCAGAATATAAAAAATATGGTAAAAATACCCTTGCTTAATACAACTTTTTCTCTGCCTCCGAGTTGTCCTCGAGAAGAGAAGATTTTCAAAGGAATACGGCATTCTCACAATAGATTCAACATAGCCCCACCCTAAATCCAGAACTCATGACCCAAGGTCATGAAATTAACAAAGAGCAAGGGCCACTTAGGGCCTTTTTTGGCCCTGATAATTTCTAAGAAATCGAAACTGCTCAGTTTTTGTTGAAAATGCAGTATTTATAATTTGGACCCATGGTGACCGTGTATCTATTGAACATGACGTAATTTCTCTCTAGTCAATGCATTATGACGTCATAAAATGCGTCATTTTTCCTATATTCTGTAAATTCCCTTAAAAATGGCCAAAAGTTTAGGTATTTTTTTTAATATTTCATATAGAGCACAACCTCTGATCCAAAATATGCAATTACATAATGAAAGATCTGTTTCTGAAGATGACAAAACATGTTTTCATTTTTGGATCGTGGGCTGTGCTCATATTTTAATTATTTGCTGAAGGTAGTCAAATTCGCATGTTTTCTGCAAAATTCAAGAACATTGCATCTTCTCAAAGCCTGTTTTTCAATACCTGGATTCTCAAAAAGAAATTTTGTTACAGGAAATGAAAGCACCAAGTCTCTACTTTATTTTGATATATGAAATGGGACAGAGGGTGATAGTCAATTAATTTATATAAGGACAGGGCCATTTTATGCATAAAGTGAACCTAGCTCTTTGGAACAGAAACAAAAACGAACAAAGCAGACCCCTGACTCTGGGACCACAAAATTTATTGTTTTTTTTTTCAAGAAGCACCCTCGTGCATCATAACTATGCATTTTGTTTCGCTGTTCAGTATCCAAGAGCAGACAAACTTATTCAATAGAATTAATGCATGTTTACTATATTATCAATAGAGTCCCATCCTTACACCAGAACATATGATCCAGGGGCCATGAAACTGGAAGAAGCACTCTTCCTCATCATAATTTTTCACTCAGTTTCTTTGCTTTATAACCAAGAGTATATAAAAGAAATACTGAAATATAAGTATTTCAAAGAAATTAAGCATTTTCACTATATAATGAATGGACCCCCCTTTCACCAGAACACCCGACTCTGGGGCCATGAATTTCACAAATTTGGAAAAAAGATTCATTGCTTATCATAACAATGCACTTAGTTTGTTTTACATAATACCCAAGAGCAGAGAAGATTTTCAGAGAATCAATGCATTTTCACAATATAATCAATAGAGGCCCACCCTAACACCAGAGTTCCGGACCCAGTTGCCTTAAAATTCACCATTTTGGAAAAACACCTTTACTATTCATAATATATACTTTGTTTGTGTAATATACAGGAGCAGAGAAGACGATTTTCAAAGATATATAATCAATAGAGCCCCCTCCTGCAGAACCCCTGACCCTGGGGCCACAAATTTCACAATTTTGGAAGAGGCACTCTTAATCATTATAACCATGCACCTAGTTTATCTGTTTTTATTCAGGGGGAGAGAAGAAGATTTTTAAAGAATGTATGCATTTTCATTATATGATTATTACAGCCCAACCCTAACTCAAGAACCCCTGATCTTTGGGCCATGATTTCACAGTTTTTGTAGAGTGCTTAATGCTTATCACAACCATGCCAATGGTTTGACTGCTAGATGTCCAGGAGTAAAGAAGATTTTTAAAAATATAACTAATTTTGATGGTTTTAGTCCCATTCTTAAGGCTCTAGGGGGCAGGGACAATTAAATTTCAAATTTTTGTTCCCCTTTACTCATAAATGCTATATGCCAAAAATGGCTGAAATTGGTTCAGTAGTTTCAGAGAAGAAGCTCAAAATGTTTAAATGTTAACGCATGGCGGACGATGGATGACGCACGCCTATGGAAGAAAACAGATAGCTATAATGACTCGGGTGACCCAAAATTGAGAATGCCTACACAGATGAGATCTATAGATTTTGTGTCTAATTCATATTTTATATTCTGTTTTAAACTCCAAATTTAATAGCTAAAGATTCTGATTGAAGACACCATAAAGAAATAAATTGCTTTCCAAGTTAGGATGCAGAAGGCCCATGTTTCATGCTTAGGTGATTTTGTGTGCCGATGTTGAATAATTTTATCAACTTTGCAATATGTGTCTCAGTGGTCGTGTCCGGGGTACCGCGTGTGAGTATCTCATAAATGTAAAGATGCTTATTTACAATTACTTTGATTAATATGAGAAAAATATAAATTAAAAAAAAAAGAAAAAAGAAAGAAAACTTGTATCTTTCATAACAAAATTATTAGTATACTGGTTGGAGATAACATGGTATGTTAGTGTGACAGTAGTTTTGAAAAAAAAAACAATTAAATTTTGAATTTCAACAGTTCATCTTGAGTGCCAATTGCGTTCATGGACTTGCTATACATATTTAGTAAATGGATTTGTTTTTGGAACTATTGTTTTGAATTTTTATCAACTACGATTCCATGAAATGGCTTTTGATTTTAAAATAGATATGCATATCCGATTATCTGAAAGGAAATATTTTTTTTTACTGACATGAGAGTTAAAACTGTAACTAGACATTTTCCTGAGGAGACAATACACACTGTGTTGACAAGGAAGGGTTTTTATATTAACCAAATATGACTGTATCAATGGCGTAAGTCCATGTTATTTGAATTTCTTTTCAAAACTCTTTGTAGACAATGTGATAAAATATACATTAAAAATTATAATATATCGCTATTTGTCGCAGATTTAAGAATGTTTAGAGCTGTTGATGAATATCATTGGCATAGACTTGCCGAACATGAGGCATCAGAAAGTACGTATCCGTTTAGACTTTTTTGTTTCTTATGTAGAGGTTAATTTATTTTAAGAACACATATTTGTGCATATTTTGATAACTTAAAATGCTGATTCAAAAACATGACGAGTTTAAAACATAATATCTCACTTCTAAATAGATCAGAAAAGAGAACATCAACATGGGCGAGGTGTATGCACGGTATTCCTTTTGGATACATCAGCCAGCATGGCAGGGGAAGGATTCCATCAAATGAAGAGGGCTTTTATGGACATTTCAAACGGTCTTTAGTTACCATCAAATGAATCATAGGATTCTTTTACTTATATATTTTCATTTAGTTGGGTTTTTTTTAAGATTAAATCAGCTGATAATGATGATGATAATGATGATGAAAAAAATAATAATATTAATAATAAATACCCTAGAAGAAAGTTTATATACAGTGCGTGTTAATGTCTTGTTGACAAAAATATAGCAGCCTGTGAATGTGTTAAAACTACAAAGTATTTAAAGAAATTATTATCAATGTTACGGTAATTTTCATTTAAGAATACAAAGCGTGAGCATCGATAGAAATTCAAAATCAGAAGTTATTCACAAGTATGTTGATTTTGTCTTTGTTGCACTTTTCAGAATTTATTGTTCATCCCCACCTCGACGAAAATGTTGCTGTCATTATGTTTGGTGAAGATGTCAAATTCTTACATTATTATTCAAACAACTATGGGTCCATAAGAAATTGTCTTGGTATATTTCCTAAAAAAATATTTATTGAACAATATTGAACAATAACAAGAACCTTTAGTCAACCTAAAGATTTTTTAAATCTAGGAAACAATTTTTGTAAATGAATTGACAAAAACAGTATATATTCTCCAGGTCACATAGAATGTAGAGGAAGCTCACCTCTGGAAGCAGGCATCCTTCTTTCTTTGTCCTGCTTACGATACGGCGGAGGTAAAGTTTAATTTTATAGAGATATTTAATTATGCACACAGCATAATCATAATATTGGCAATAAGAAATATTTTCCAGTGAAGCATTCTGCTCTCTACTTGATTACTTTTTAAATTCATTTCATTTAATGTGAAATACACTGTTTTCTAGCTGCTTTTATAATAACATTTTAAAGTATTAAGTCAACGCAGTAAGATAAAAAAAAATTGGGGAAAACCCCCAAAAACAGTAACTATCATAGGATAAAATGTACAAGCGTAATTAAAAAAGTACATCTTGATATCCTGATACTTCTATTTTATGAACAATTCATTCATCTCATTGGAATGGCTTTTCTTGAACTGAGAACTTGTTCCCATCACATTCAAGATTGATTAGACACTGCATTGATATGTACCTTAAACATATTTTTCGCCGTTTAAAACGTCACCTTTCTTTCTTTTTTTTTTTTTACACAATAATGAATACCCAATAGATTCAATGTGACTGACGGACCAACATAAAAGAGGATGCCTTTATTCACTCATAATAGAAGGAAACCTCTTTGACTTAATTGTAAACATGTAAACCCCCCCCCCTAAAAAAAATAATAAAAATAAAAATCAAGAGTACAAAATTCTGCATTATGGCATTGTATGGATAGGTAGCTTAATCATATTTTTCGTCTTATATAAATGTAACTTTTCCTTTTTTAACCACAATGAACACTTGGTAGATTCAATGTGACAGACAGACCGACATAAAAGAGGGTGCTTTTATTGAGTCATAATGGAAGGAAATCTCTTTGACTTAATTGAATACACCCTAACAAAAAATACTATAGTTAACTATAGTTTACTATAGTTAACTATAGTTAACTGTAGTGATAACTTTGACACTATGAAAACTTTGATTTACTATAATAGTGATAACTTTGACACTTTGATTTACTATAGTGATAACTTTGACACTTTGATTTACTAAAGTGGTAACTATGACACTAAAGTGATCACTTCGGAAACTTTGATTTACTATAGTGATCACTATGACACTATAGTGATCACTTTGAAAACTTTGATTTACTATAGTGATCACTTTGACACTTTGAATTACTATAGTTAACCATAGTTAACTATAGTAACTATAGTTAACTATAGTTATTTTTTTGTCAGGGCATGTACCACCACCCCCCCTCCCCCTGCACCCCCCCCCAAAAAAAAAAATAAAAAAAAAATAAAAGTCAAGGGTATAAAAGTCTGCATTATAAAATAATTATTTATTAATGAACCTAATAAAAGTTCAACAACATTCCCTTTCTAGGTCACAATGCAGTTTTTAATCCTCATATAAAAGTAAGAGCAAGATTAGTTATAATATCGGATGGTCGGCCAACTACATCCGGTGACATAGGAGGTCCTGAATTGGACAATGCCAGCAAAGAATCAATATTTGACGGCGTAAGGGAGTTTATGCAAACAAAATGCATTTGTTTAAATATATAAATATTAACTGATATAATAATAAAGAGAGGATTCCTAGTTGAATTTAAACACAAAATTCTGACGTACTGAAAATTTAAAGTCTTTTTTTTGTGCTAAATATGCAGTAAATTGAAATAATGGATTGACAAAAACTGTAAAAGGATACAATTTCCTGCAATAGGACAAAATTATTCTTTTATAGACAACAACAAAAATATTTTAAATAGCATATTAAGAAAGATGTCTAATGTTGTTAGTTATTTAACGGACTTTTATAACCAATCTCCTTCAAAGGAAAGTTTAAAGAATACAACCCACATTTTCAGACTTATACAAGAATACAAACTTTGATTAAAGCAATTGGAAAGACTACGCCAATCACATGCATTCCTGTAGGGCCAAACCCAGATGTCGTAAGTTTATGTTTGTTAGTCTTTTTGGTTGTATTTTTGAGTGTATCTTCACAAGGCATAGTATCTGCACTAAATAGATAGAATTCAAATATACTTGATATGCTAAAATAGTTTGTTTATTAACGACATTTGAATTATGTATTAAAGGGTTTCTTAAAGTCGTTGGTGGAATTATCTACAGCAGGCAGACTGATTTTCTATGAAAATGCAAAACAGTGTGGAAGATTTGCTCTTAACATGGTGAGAAAATGCAAATATTTGACTTGAAGACTAATTTTGGAATGGGAGGATTAATTACACCACAGTTTTAAATTGTTTTATAGAGAATTGCATGTTGCATCGTAGAAAGAAAGATGTCATCTAATTTAACACGGGATGAAATAAAAACAATCGCCAAAATGTCCTCTTTACATGATGTGTCTGGCAAAGATCTGGTATGGATTTAAATGAACTAAATTATTATTATTTCTCTATTCAACTTACACACTAAAATGAAAGTTGTGCAAAACATACAGAAACTGATTTTACTTGATTATTACATTCAACTTTAGCTCAATGACTTGAGCGTGCAAAAATTGAAAATTTTATCTATAGAACTTTTAGTAATATTATATCATCTGAAGGAGGATGTCTGCGATATCATAAATGAAATTGATGCATACAAACCAATAACTGCTGAAGACCTAGAGGAAGATGTCTTCACAGAGCGATATGAAAATCTTCCTGGCATTGGTACAAGAGTAAAACGTGGACCTCATTGGACCTGGAAAAACCAAGACAGTCACGGTCCTGGAACAGTGATCGGACACTCTGAAAGAGGTATGAATGCATTCGAAACCACCCAGCTAATATTGAAGATTTTGCTTCTCAAAACGTGAAATTTTAAGCAAATGTAGGCGTTAAAGTTAATTTTGGTAATCACTTACGCTTAATTTACGTGTTAATATTTTTTTTTTCAGTTGGGTGGGTTAACGTGGAATGGGATAGTGGTGTTACATTGAGCTATCAATATGGGTTTGATGGCTTCATTGAAAAATATGATATCACTCCATGCAAAGAACCAAGGATTCTAGAGAATGAAATGATTGCAGTTGGTTGCTTAGTAACCAGAGGTATTACATCATTTTGTTTCATCAATATTTTTTTTTTTATTTTGAACTGTCCTTAACCTACGGAGAGTATAAATCTATTTCAATTGCTATGTCCATTAAATGCTAATACTTTATCTTATATAGAGATTAAAAAGGAATGATCATCTTTCAGCTTTAATCTTTAAATGTCCTTTAAGTCACAATTACTATCATTCAGAATGTAGAATTATTTCATTGTTAGTTCATCAGTATTTTTTTTTCCTTTTATGGAAGGTCCCGATTGGAAATGGGGAGATCAGGATGGTGGAGAAGGGAATGTTGGAACAGTGTATAGAGTCAGAAAAGAGGCTGTTATTCTTGTAAAACAATGAATTTAAAATAGGATTAATAATTTTACTATTTTAAAAAGTACTTAAAAGCGTCCTTGCCTCGTTCAATATTAACACTTTTATGATATTAAACCACATTTACCACTCACCGTTAAAGATTCCAAAATTGTATAATATGCCCTTAGTACAGATAGGTTTCACTGTTCCTTACCTCCGTAGTTTTTTTTTTTTTTTTTTTTTTTTTTTTTACATTTATTTAGAAAATTTTATTTTTCAAATATAGACCAGAAGTATAATTCTTTAATCATTAATTGAATATAAAAAAAAATACGACAACATTTTTGAACACCTTTCAATATTTAGGTAAAGTGGCCAAATGGTAATCGTAGTAACTATAGATACGGGTACGACAACAAATATGACGTTACCGTGTGGTATGTATACCATAATTACACGTTCTAGTTACACTTTACATATTGGACAAACACCAAGTGAAATGTCACTATTTTTAAATTATCATAGAACATAGGTTTCCATTAACATGATTAACATTTCTATTGTTTATTTAGTGATCCATTTGATCCTCTTGTCCTTCGATCCTTGAATTTTCAACACAGATCGAACGACTCCGGGAATCCCGAAAAGGAGGAGCAGAAAAAATGAAGAAAAAAAAAACCTCAAGCGTGAAAAAAAATTTATTTCAAGTACCATGATTATATTGAACTGTATTTCTTTTTTAATTAAGTGTTATATCTTTTCTTTTCATTTTACTTCTAACTTTTTGTTTCACAGAAATAAAAAAAAATTCAAGATTTATCACTTAAAAAGTGGTAATTAACATCTGTTGTTATGTATGTGTTTTTGTCAAATGCGCGTGTAAAATACGTGGTCGCCTGATTTGCCTTGAAAAATTATCCTAACCGATAGTGTTCCCTTTGAATAGGTCAATTAGAACTTTATTGACTAAATAGAAAGTATTGTAAGCTCCCCACGGATGGCCATCCTGAAATGGGGGGGGGGGGGCATACAATGTACTTATACAACATTTCTCAAGGTCACTCCTATATTCTTGGTTCATGATTCTCAGTAAGGACAAAGCTTGGTATCAGTTCAAATATTGGTTTATTAATTCATCTTACAACAGGAAAGGATAGTATGGTAAACAAAAGTCTATATTGGATACATATAGATATATCAAGTAATATTTGTTATGGTCTGTGGCGTCAACCGTACTTTCAAGGGTAAAAGGGGTAGAAAAGTTGATTTGGAATTTAAAAGCTCTAAATATCAAATATCAGGTGTCCAGTGTGTTGGGAGATAATTGGCAGTTTTTCCTCACCTAGAATTTAGAATTTGGATGCTGCTGCTGCAACTTATCTGCCATAAACTGGCGAGGCGCTTATATTTATAAGTTTCTGAAGTAGTCATGTGACACAAATTAACGAATGAAAAAGCTGTACGGTGACGCTCGACCAATCACAGCATTGTACGGCGCCGTACAAACAGAGATCTGTCAAACAGTGCCAAACAACGTCAAACAAGGCTGCCGTACAATGTGGATTACAGCTACAAAACGGAATTAATATTTACATTTGCAATAATAAATAATATGATATGGATCTGGAGGATGTTTTCATCAACTGTAAGTAAGCATTTCATGTGAATTAAACGTATATTTCATGATAGAAAACTGCAATCGTACAGCAGACGATATTCAAATAGCTCTGACATAATAAAAATGTGTAACTACTATTAAATCCCGTTTAAAGTAAAACCGCTGATAAATCTTAGTAAAACATCTTCAAACATCAATTTTGTGGATATTCACAAACAATTATAACATCGAATTGCATGAAAAAGTAGAACTTGTTCAAATACGAAACTATGGCTAACACAAATAAGATGTCGGCGGGATGTAAACAACTTCCATGACTCCTGCAATCGTGTGCACTTGTGGCAATGTTAGGCACGTATTTAATTCAAATATAATTTTGAAAAATACAGTAACATGGAAAGGTTTTAAAGGTATGTACTTCAATTCATAGGATGGAGGATTTCCTGTATAAATGAATGCAACAAATATGTCAAATGTGCTATAAATAGACGATACCACGTTCTGTTATTATTCAGATAGCAGTGTAGTTTATGCGTAATGAAGTCCACCCTGATAATACTCCCAATAAATGATAACACATTTCAGTCATATAAAAAAATAAACTAATTAATTAAATTCTACTCCATGGCCATTACAGTATCTTAAAGTAATATAATAATAATTCTAAAAACAACAACCAAACAAAAACCAAAAAGAAAAAAAAAGAATTTGTACAAACGATAATGTTCATTGGAGTGCAATATATATATATATATATTCTTGTTTTCCTTTCACGAGTACCTCGTGATAATGAATATTAGTCGCTATTCCCTTCCACTTGAATCTCCATTCCATCATCTATCACACAATTAAAATAAATTACTTTTAAACTTTGTGATAATTAACTTTAAAAGCTTCATTATTTATGAAATTAATTTGCAAACTTGATTTATAAATAAGCTAGATCATAATAATTCAAATCAAATATTCTTTTATTCTAATAACATTATTTTTTTCCCCCACAGTTTTTTGAATCTGTACTCGTTATTAGACTAATGAATATCGCAACAAAAAAAATATGATCCATGGCGAAGAAAATGTAAATTGAGTCAGAAATTTGTATTTACAGTCATCTAAATGTACGGAAGCCCGTTGAGGCCAATTCAGAGAGAGAACTATTTTTTATTGCGTTTAAACGCAATAATTATTGCGTTTAATCGCAAAACATTGCGTTTAATCGCAATAATCATTGCGTTTAAACGCAAAAGATTGCGTTAAATCACAATGTATATTGCGTTTAAACGCAAAACACTTTGCGTTTAATCGCAAAAGATTGCGATTAAACGCAATCTTATGCGTTTAAACGCAATACTTTTGCGATTAAACGCAAAAATTTTTGCGTTTAATCGCAATGATATTTTTGCGTTTAAACGGAATAATTTTTGCGATTAAACGCAATACTTTTGCGTTTAATCGCAATAATTTTTGCGTTTAAACGCAATACTTTTGCGATTAAACGCAATACTTTTGCGTTTAATCACAATAATTTTTGCGTTTAAACGCAATACTTTTGCGTTTAAACGCAATCCTTTTTGCGTTTAATCGCAATGATATTTTTGCGTTTAAACGGAATAATTTTTGCGATTAAACGCAATACTTTTGCGTTTAATCGCAATAATTTTTGCGTTTAAACGCAATACTTTTGCGATTAAACGCAATACTTTTGCGTTTAATCACAATAATTTTTGCGTTTAAACGCAATACTTTTGCGATTAAACGCAATACTTTTGCGTTTAATCGCAATAATTTTTGCGTTTAAACGCAATACTTTTGCGTTTAAACGCAATCCTTTTTGCGTTTAAACGCAATAATCTTTGCGTTCAAAGGCAATAATCTTTGTGTTTAAAGGCAGTCATTTGTATCAAACCTTGCAGAGAACAATGGACCCACGCATACTTATATCTTTTATTTCTTTCTCTTTTTACTTATTAGGAAATTGTGTGTTGTCTTTATAGAATCAGATTTCTCCGAGCAAACACTCTCTGAAAGGTAAATCACTAATAAGAATTTATAGAGGAGAAAAAAATGTCGGGTTGTAAAAACAAAGGAATCCTAAGAACGAGACATGTCTTAAGCTTGTTCTCTACATTTTCAATGAAGTTTCGGTCAGTTGTTCTGCTAAAAAAAACTGTCCCATACGTTGCAGTCACAAGTTTAAATCATGTATAAAGGGATTTTTGGAAAGGACTGAGGAAATGTTGGAATTACGTGCAACATGATGAAGTATTTAGACTTCAATGTACATTCATAACCCTTCCTATGGTTGCATACAGTAACATATGTGATGGATTTATATGAGGTCAAAATCAAAATCAAAATCAAATGAAAACAGATTGATCGGTGTGAACTACATGTATCAAATTGACAAGTGCTATTAATACCACTGAAACTTTCTCTATAAGTTGTGATAGACGTAAGCAATTGATCAGAGATTTCATTAAGAGTTTTGGGTTCTAATACATTTAAGACATTCAGGTTGTTAGGATGCCATTGTTTTATTACAATTTTCAAAAACTGGAAAATTTTGCAAAAAGACACAGAACAAATCGGATCTTCTTAAAGTTGAAGTGTCGGGTCCTAGTACATGTAATTATAAGCTTTGACTAATTCATGTTTGATTTTGAAACTACAGTATCATTGTGTTTAAATGCAAAACAAATCCTTATAAGGAAGGATTATTGCGTTTAAATGCAAAGATTATTGCGTTTAATCGCAAAATTATTGCGTTTAATCGCAACACTATTGCGTTTAATCGCAATACTATTGCGCTTAATCGCAAAAGTATTGCGTGTAATCGCAAAAGTATTGCGTGTAATCGCAAAAATTATTGTGTTTAAACGCAAAAATTATTGCGTTTAAACGCAAAAAATATTGCGTTTAAACGCAAAAATATTATTGCGTTTAAACGCAAAAAGTATTGCGTTTAATCGCAAAAGTATTGCGTTTAAACGCAAAATATTGCGTTTAATCGCCATCTTTTGCGATTAAACGCAAAGTGTTTTGCGTTTAAACGCAATATACATTGCGATTAATCGCAAAATTTTGCGTTTAAACGCAATAAAAAATATTTCTTTCTCTGAACTGGCCTCAACGGGCTTCCGTATTAATGCGTAGATGGGTTATATTAAAATTGAGTGCCAAATAGCAACACATTGTTATTGTTAACGGATATCTGCAGTATTTTTCCTGCTCATAAATAAAAGATTGTTTTATTCGAAACTTCCTCTCAGAAAAGATTTGAAAGGAAATGAAATTGTACAAACAACTGAGACAGATCTGAAAGAAGGCAAAAAAAAAATCGAAAATTATTTCTCGGTCTATGATCATATAAGTAAGAAAATATTCTAATGGCTGGTCGTCTAGATGATTATTGTTTGGGAGAAAGATTAAGCAAAGAAGCTGAAGAACGTAAGTATTTCTCAATTATACATTCAGATAATCTTTTTTCTCATTTTCTGTTTTTTAAGAATCACAGAAAATAATTTCAAGCAAATCCGCTTAGAGCGGTCCGAAGTTATAAGGTGAACAATAATCTCTCTCTCTCACTCTCTCTCTCTCTCTCGCTCTCTCTCTCTCTCTCTCTCTCTCTCTCTCTCTCTATATATATATATATATATATATATATATATAATCTATTTATTTATTTATTGATTTATATGGAAAGAATTCAAGATATTCAAAACACAAAAAATGGTTAGAATACTCTGCTTGGAATTAGCTTTATCTGTGAGGCCATTGTTTTCTTACAAGTTTTGGTTATGGATTACACGCACTCTTTTTTCCTGATCAATACAAAGAACTCGAGCCTGTGTAACCAGTCGACAGGTAATATTTATTCATTCTAGGCCGATCCAAACTCTGCATGTTTTTTTTTCAGAGAAGCGTGTACTTATTTTTTCTTAATTGTATTGTTTCTAGGATTTCTAATATAGTTCATGTTATTTTCAAATTTTCATCATAGCACTTGTGATGAATGTTTATAGAAATCATGACTGAGATGTATAAGATATTATGATTATATAATGT